AGGGAGGATTAAACCCCACAACCAGGCCATAAATCCAGTGCAGGTTTATGCTCCTGTGTGGTCCCAGTGCCACTTTCAGARCAGCTGCAAACGAAAGAAAAAACCCAAACAAAACAGTGAAAAAACCCACCAACCCCCCCAAAACCAGGGCACAGAGGGAGTTTGGTTATGTAAGGATTCATTCTTCCTTCCTCAAAGCCCATCTGCTGCTCAGGAGCTCATTTCTGTGTGTTCATCCCCATTCCTGGCCTGCATTCCCAGAGTCTCCACGGCCAAATGTGGAGTCTTTTTAATTCCCCTCCCCTCTCCTGCAGTGTGGCAGGAATTGCTGGCACTTGTGCTGCTTCCTACGCTCGTCCCCAGTGCTGAGGAGAGACGAGCCTTTTATACCAATTTTTCTGCCAGTTTTTCTTCCAGTTTTCCTACCTGTTTCATGCCTGTTTCCTGCTGGTTTTCCTTCTTGTTTTCTCCCTGTTTCTGCCTGTTTCCTGCCGGTTTTCCTCCCGGTTTCGAGCCTGTTTCCTGCTGGTTTTCCCTCTTGTTTCCTGCCAGTTTTCCTGCCAGTTTTCCTCCCAGTTTTCTGCCAGTTTTCCTCCCAGTTTTCCTCCCAGTTTCCTGCCTATTTCCTCCAGTTTTCCTTGTTTTCTCCCCATTTCCTGCCCATTTCCCACCCATTTCTCTCCGTGAGGAGCTGTCACTGTTGGCACAGCCCCCAGGATCTGGGGAGCTCTGAGCATCCTCACTGGGAYCCCCCTGGCACCTCCTGATCCAGGAGCTCCTCACCCATCCCTGGCACCCAGCAGAGCCAGCTGCCCTTCCCCATGTCCCTGGCACCACCACAATGGGTTTTACCTGCTGGATGCATGTATTCTGTGTTTTCTGCTGTGTTTTCTGCTGTGTTTTCTGTGTTTTCTGCTGTGTTTTCTGTGTTTTCTGCTTGATTTCTGTGTTTTCTGCTGTGTTTTCTGTGTTTTCTGCTCCATCTTCACCAGCCTGCCCTCTCCATGCCCAAGTGTTTTCCCTGGAAATGACCAGTACAGGATGGGCACCCATCAATCCTGCTGGATGAAAAATATCCACGAGAGCAGCGACTCTGGGATCAGCACTGGGAAGTGCCAGGGACACTCAGGTGGGCACTGCCAGCAGAGGTGACAGCCCCAGCACTGCCCMGGCCCTGATGCCACCTCAGCACCAGAAATTTGAAATCCCCACTGGGAATTATTTGTCCACCTGGCCTCAGAGTCACTTCCCTGCTGCCCCTCTCCCTCCTGGGGGCACAAGGTGAGCTCTCAGGGCAGGGCCAGCAGGAATCCAGCAGGAATTCCAGCAGGAATTCCAGGCCTTTTCCAGGTATTTCCATCCCAACACACCCCAAGGCAGAGAGGGAGAGCTCACTGAAGCCCCTGCAGCCACAGTTGGTGGCTCCTGGCTCAGCCTCAGCCCCTGCTCCTCCTCCCCCATACATATTCATGAGCCAAATTATCACTGAACAAGCAGGTTGCTGTGCAAATAAATGATTTTTAATCTCAATTACCCAGTTTACACACTGGCCTCAGCTCTGCTCAGCAGAACAGCTGGTGTTTACCAACTYCTCATTACTGAGCCAGGCAACACCAGGAGAGGCTGCCCAGAGAGGAGCAGCCACCTCTGAGATAAGCTGAGCTCAAGGTTTATCTCAGCCCCTGTGCAGGTCTCTCATCCAGCCCAGTTTGCACCAGTGAGCCGTGAAAGAAAGACAAAAATATCTGCTGATAACAATTATTACTGCTGGGTGCTTTATTTCAGCAGGGAATTCATTTCCATGAAAACCCAAATCAATCCAGCTCTCTGTCCCTAGCTGGGTTTCCATTTATCAGCATTTCCTTTCTCCTCATTCCACGGGAGGCTCGCACCGGAGCTGGGATGATGCAAGAATTATTCCTGTCGCGGCATTTCCACCRTCCAAGAACGAGCATATGTCAGAGAAATCCAGCCCCTCGTTATTCCAGGCCTTAAACGATCCCCCCGAGGCTCCAAACAAACACGGGCTGGCAGTGCCAGCGCTGCCTCTGGGGGGTGTTTGCGTCAGGACCGTGTCAGGAAAATTCATCCACAAACACCAGAGGTTTCTGTCCAAAAAGGAGACGGAGGAGTCCTGCAATTTTATTCATGAATAAAGGGAGAGGTCATGGGCATTTCCATGGGGTCTCTCAATTGATAGAGGATGCAGTCTCTTTTATCGCAGTTTATCCCAGTTCCCTTTCTCATTCCCCATTGGCTGAGGGACTGAGGAGGTACAAACTCCCCGAAATTCCTAATGCAACCCCCCCCTTCTAATATAAAACCCCCCTTTAATACACATCTCTATCTCTCTGCTCTTGTAGTTCATTGACACAGTCTGGGCTCAGTCAATCAGTGGGATTCCTGCAGAAATCCTTCCCATTATTCCTTCAGCCTCCCAGTACGGTCGAATCTCACCCTGAGAGTCACAGTTTGTTTGTAAAGGCGCTCCCTTCTCGTTCCTTTTGCTGGGTGAGGGCAGACGGGGATGTTGCTGTGGTCCCATCGCCCTCTGGAAGCGCTGGAAGGAAGGGGCTGCTCTCAGCTGCTGCACGTGGCTCCCAGCAGGGCTATTCCCAGC